AGACAGACAGGAGGGAAACAGAGAAGATGGAGAGTTAGAAAAGAAGAAAAAATGGGGAGGAGAGAGAGAGAGGGGGGGGGGGGGAGAGAAAAAGGAGAAAAAATAGATAGAGACTGAAAGGGGTTGACATACGAAAAAGTGTTCTTTAGTTGCGCACCGTTCGTGTGTATTTCTCGCTGTGAAATGAATACACCCTTTTCTTGACATTCTCTCTTCTCATAAATATCCCTTTCAATAATGTATTTATAGAGGCACCAGCGATCCATATCTAGGTGATGTTTTAGCCACAAATATCCCTCCTTGCAGAGTACAGAAGTCCAGTGAAAAAGACGACCACAACGACAACCACGACGACAACAACACGACGTCCATGGGTCTCCAGCTACGACCGTCACTCCAACTATGACCCCCAGTTCAATGACCGTGACAATGACGATGGAGGAGGGGTCAAGGATCCAGACAGGTTTGTCTGTTTGTTTTTCTCTTTGTCTACTTCAAAGTCTGCTTCTTGTCTTCGTCTGCTGGTTTAAAGAGACGCCCAACAACCTGACAACCATCACAGAAGTTAGAGGCAAGGCAGCAGCTGCAGCAGCAATAGAAGAAGAAAACAGATTTAAAGGGAGGAGGAGGAGGAGGAGGAGGAGGAGGAGGAGGAGGAGGAGGAGGAGGAGGAGGAGGAGGAGGAGGAAGTGGAGGAGGAAGAGGAGGAGGAGGAGGAGGAGGAATAAGAAGAGGAGAGGGAGGAGGAAGAAGAAGAAGAAGAAGAAGAAGAAGAAGAAGAAGAAGAAGAAGAAGAAGAAGAAGAAGAAGAAGAAGAAGAAGAAGAAGAAGAAGAAGAAGAAGAAGAAGAAGAAGAAGAAGAAGAAGAGGAAGAAGAAGAAGAAGAAGAAGAAGAAGAAGAAGAAGAAGAAGAAGAAGAAGAAGAAGAAGAAGAAGAAGAAGAAGAAGAAGAAGAAGAAGAAGAAGAAGAAGAAGAAGAAGAAGAAGAAGAAGAAGAAGAAGAAGAAGAAGAAGAAGAAGAAGAAGAAGAAGAAGAAGAAGAAGAAGAAGAAGAAGAAGAAAAAGAAGAAGAAGAAGAAAAAGAATAATAATAATAATAATAAGAAGAAGAAGAAGAAGAAGAGAAGAAGAAGAAGAAGAAGAAGAAAAAGAAGAAGAAGAAGAGAAGAAGAAGAAGAAGAAGAAGAAGAAGAAGAAGAAGAAGAAGAAGAAGAAGCTACCCGCCTCCAAGGTAATCAATGTTTTTTCCAAACTGACGTTAAAATAATAATATATGCATTCAATCTGCCCACAACATAAACCTCTATGTCCCCAGGCCTCGTGGCTATGACAACGGTCCTTGGTCTTCTGGCCAGAAAGATGGTGAAGACAGACAGAGGGGATCCGACACCTACCCTTCTTATGGCACTTGGCGGAATCCAGAGTACAACTCCGAAGGTGGGTTTGAATTGAATTAGAGCCAGGTTAGAGCCATAATTTATCACACCTTTTACTACCAAAAATCTTTCTATGTATATAAGGTGGAGATGTCTGATGAGACGCTTTGGAGAAAAATATAATCGATCTGTTCAGCCTATGTTCAGAATTGGATTCGGCCCCGGGTTGCCCGGGTTTTTCAGGATAAGAAAAGAAAGATATGATTTTTTTAAAATCGTTTTCAAGTGGTATGTTAATAGTAGGGATTCTTTGAAGAAAAACTGAACAGACTTATTTGTGTTTTCGAGAACTGCTTGGGCTGAGGTTCAGTTTGAAAAAATTTGGAGGGCTCTGAGCTAGGGCTGTTTGCAGAATCTTCAAAGTTCTCCACCCACACGTCTCGGTTTGGTTCTATCGAAAATGGGTTTCCCAATCCTGATCTAGGCGATCGGGAACATGTTAAATACTCAGCTTACTTATTTTAATGTATCCATACCAGGAGATTCTGCAGGACAGGGGAGTGGGGGGGGGGGGGGTGACTATGTGCATCTTCTTCAAAGTATAATATCATAATAATATGTATCTAGTAGAATTATCTATTTTAGCAGAAGTGGAATTATAAAATATTACTCTTCATCTGTGTTTCATTGTCTTTCCAGAGGGAGAAAGCAAGTCCGTGATATCAGATCCAGATGGTAATGGAGCGGTCATTAACAAGGGTCTGACAAGTTCAGTTATCACTATAATTGTGTGGTGGTCACTTTGTTTCTGGTTAGGAGGGAGGTGATGAGGCTCAGAGATACGGGCGTATTCTCCGTGCTCCTCCTCCCCCCCTCCCCCCCCCCAACCACCTTCCTTTCTTTCTCTCTCAATCTCTGTCTCTCTCCTTTTGCACGCGCCGTCTCACCCTCGCATCGCCTACTCTTCCCTCTTTCAGGGGGGG